TGTACTCGTAATCGTACAATAGCAACACAAACAGGCAGGGCAAGTACATTGATAATGAACCGAGAATTGTACTTTTATTCTTCTACATTTGTATTTTGTATTTACCATTACACAATGGACCCAGTAGAATCAACATCAACATCGACTTTGACTTATTCCTTTTCTTTGGCCAACTTTTTGCGGTTAAGATTTGCGTTCCGTTTTCGGTTTTTGATGTTGCTTTGTTGTAGGTCAGTTACTGGGGCAGGTTTGCATTGTTTGCCGGTCTTGCCTTTATTATTATGCCCCTTGCCCCTGTGTTTTCGCTTCATTGTCAAATGATTTGCAATTGGCCATAAATTCATCAGGCAGTCGAGCCCACATATCGGCTTTGTTTGCATTATACATTTTTAATGGGTTAGTAGCTCGCTTCAAGTGTTCGATGACTTGGCAGGAAATAAGACAAAGAAGTTTCAAGAATTATATTAAAGAAATGTAGAACTGCTTATAGTGGAGAACATATAAATAATATACTATTTTAAATGTATTTAAGTTATTTAGTAATCAAATATTATCATTTTTTTTGTTGTAATGTTTTGGACCTATAAATCTGTTTTTTATAAGAAAATGGTTTAATATCGAAATTAAAAAAAGCTTAAACTGGGCGTAGTCAGGAAGTAAAATCCTGGGCAAAATATGCTACACAAAATTTGGTCAAAAAATGTCACTTTAAAATGCGTAAAATAAATTTAATCTATTGTTTTTTGTACTAAAAGAGTAAAGCAAATTCGTATTATAATAAATCAGTTACGAAAATGTTAAACGCTTAAATTTATGTGGCCAAATATAAAACAAAATATTTTTTTGTTGGATTTTAGGACAAGAACTTCTTTATAATAATTCGGTACCATAAAAAAGTTCATTAATCGACATCCACATGCATTGCATGGCAGTGAGTAGTGTTAAGCAGCCGAGAACTGGAATCCAATCACTTTGCGTTGCTGAAAGTCGAACAAAACAAACCCGAGATTTACTCATGGGCAAGCCAAAAAAAGCGAAATACCAGAGCTAGCAAAAAACGCATTAATCGAGGGGAGGGTAAATTAAAAGGGGGCCAAAGTGGGGCACATGGAGGAATCCTAAGACAATGCCGGAGGACGGACCAGCACATGTGGTGCATAGGTGGATACGTGAGCGGATGCCAAACCGCATCAAAGTTTCGAGATACCGAGGGTAAGGTGCATCGTTTCCAGTTGCCAACTGCAGTGCACTTGCTTAATAAATTTTTCCATCTGCCGACTGCCTGCCTACACTCATAGAAATTTTTACCTAAATACTAGAAAAGTCGCCCTAAAACCGAGGTCGCCCTAAAACTACGGAAAATTTTCTTATTATACGGGTGGCTAGCCCTAAATATACGAAAAATCGCCATGGAAAATATTTTTTAGGGTTAGTTTTTTCAAAAAGGCAAATTTTCCCTGTTTTTTAGGGCGAATTTTTATGAGTCGCCTCCAAAAGTAATTCCTTCTTTTTAGGGCGAAATCGCCCTAAAACGTAGAACAAAATAGCAAAAAAATGTTCTGAAATTGCCCTAAAAACAAGGAAGAGTCAAACGAAATTTTAAGACGCAGTTAATGGATACATTTGTAATGCATGTGTGTATGTGTGTGTGGTTGACAGGTCAAAACAAGTGAATGTGTGTGTATATTAGGGCGGACCTTTTTCTTCTTCTTTGCTACTTTTCGTCCGTTGCAGTGGCAAGGGTGTGGGTAGAAAGAGTTGCATTGTCTAGCCTTTGACACAATTTTTCGGACGCTTGGAAGTGAATGACGTGTTTTTGAGTAACTATTTGATTGTGAGAAAGTAAAAAAATGGAAACGGTATTAAAGGACTTGGGAGGCGATGCTTTCTCTGGAATTTTTTCTGGTAAGTGCATACATATATAAATGTGCAATTTGAATATCAATAAGTTATTGAATTTACATATCTGTAACAAAGGAAAATGCAGCTGAAACTTTAAAAAATTTGAGTGGAAGCAGCTACGAGGAGAAATTCCTGTTTAAATAGTCGGTCCAGAAGCGGAAGTTTTGGAAGTGTGGCAGAACAAAGTAAGATCATTAATAAGAGTATACATATATGTATGTGTATATGTAAATAATGCTTGAGTTAAAAAGATGATGCAACAGAATACACACATACATATGTATATATTTACAAGAAATCTGTATTTATGCACCGGACAAACCGCATTCACAAGTGCATATGCCAAAACAACGCCCAAATTTCTATTGCGACATTTCGTCAGTGCTCGAAATTTGCTTTTGCTGCTTCTTTTTTTTCTAGGAGTATCAGCAAACGCAATCGCAGGCTAAATGAAAATTGTGTGTGTTGGTTGTGCATTTTTATATTAATTTCTAACAATTTTTTTTTTTTTTTTTTTTAGATCGAGAACGCTTTTCAGATCCAGCTTTCGCAAACCACTTTTCGGACTTATTAAAAGCAGGAGTAAGGAAGCAACAGGAAATAAACCTGCTCAAATTTTTGATAAGCTCTGAAGGTAAGTGCTTCTCTTTTTTTCTATTATCATATAATAATTAGACTGTTTTCATTTAATAGAGATACAATCAACTTTAAATTGGCTTGCGATCCATTCAGTGTTGGTGCCGACAGCAAGAACAAACAAGAAAGGAAGCTAGCTTCGGCCAGCCGAAGCTTATATACCCTTGCAGATCATTCCTATTAATTAACAAATCGCAAAAATGTTCAATTTTCTAATATTTCTCATTAATTTTCCGATCGTTCCTATGGCAGCTATATGATATAGTCGTCCGATTTTGATCAAATTAAAATTGAAATTCGAAAATATTTAAAAAGAGTCATATCCTAGAGTAGAAGATAATACAATAAAAACCAAAGAAGCTAGAATTTATTTCCTATTACTTTTCCATTAATTTTCCGATCGTTCCTATGGCAGCTATATGATATAGTCGTCCGATTTTGATTAAATTAAAATTGAATTTCGGAAATATTTAAAAAGTGTCATATCCTAGAGTAGAAGATAATACAATAAAATCCAAAGAAGCTAGAATTTATTTCCTATTACTTTTCCATTAGTTTTCCGATCGTTCCTATGGCAGCTATATGATATAGTAGTCCGATTTTTTAAATAATTAATTCGAAATTCAGATATATTTAAAAAATAACATCCCCAAAAGTAGAAGGTAATATTTCAAAAAACACCGAAGCTAGAATTTTTTAAAGTTTTTTTTTCCGATTGTTCCTATGGGAGCTATAAGATATAGTTGTCCGATCCGGTCGGCTCCGACATATATACTACCTGCAATAGAAAGAAGACTTTTGGGAAAGTTTCATCCTGATAGCTCAAAAACTGAGAGACTAGTTTGCGTAGAAACAGACAGACGGACAGACGGACAGACGGACAGACGGACGGACAGACGGACAGACGGACAGACGGACAGACGGACAGACGGACAGACGGACAGACGGACATGGCTAGATCGACTCGTCTTGTGATGCTGATCAAGAATATATATACTTTATGGGGTCGGAAACGTCTCCTTCACTGCGTTGCAAACTTCTGACTGAAATCATAATACCCTCTGCAAGGGTATAAAAAGGACGCCGGGAGCAAGAACGCGAAGTACACCATTGCAGACTCGGGAAGCCGTTTCTTTTAAAGTTATTTATTATTTATTATTTTTAAACCCGATATAATCCATTTAGCAATAAGAATAGGAGAGTATGTAAATTTGTATAACTATAAATCGTGTAAATATACTTGTAGTTAATGTAAATAACAACAAACAAAAATATAAAAACAAAAAAAAAATATATTGAAATTGTATTTTTATTTATGAAAAATGGCCGTGAAATTTTGGGGAGCATTTTGCATGTTCTAGGGCAATTCACCTATAAATCCAGAGAAAATGCCCTAGATTTATGAAAATCTGCCTTTAGTTTTAGGATATTTTTCCTTATTTCCAGGGCAATTCGCCTATAAGTCCAAAAAAATCGCCCTGGATTTAAAGGAAACTGCCTTTAGTTTAAGGGTCTCATTTCTTATTTTTAGGGCAATTACCTTTGAAAATAGAAAAATCGCTCTAGATCTACGAAAAATCGACCTAAATGTATGACAAATTCACCCGTATTTTTAGGGCAATTTGCCCTAATTTTGTTGCCTAGTCGCCATTGACCCCCGTTTTAGGGCGATTTTCCTTGTTTTTAGGGCGATTTTACCGGAAAATTTCTATGAGTGTACACAATTATTCGTCAGCTACCTTGGCGAACCCATTAGGTTAATAAGAAGCGCTGCACAAGACGCAGAGAGACTACACCGATATATATATGTATAAATAGGTATATATATATTTTATGTATAGCTGGGCCCCAAAAAAAAAAAAGAGACGAGGAAACCAGCAAAAACTATGCGCGTGAGACGCGCTCTAACGGCGAAAACGCCGCAAACACTAAGGCCCCTGGGTCCCAGGACTGGATCCCTGGACTGGGGGCCCCAACCCAGTCCCCCCATATCATCGGCCATGTTTAAAGCTCGAAATTTATACGAGAAATTCCTCTAGAGTTCGGGCGCTGCGCGGAAAAGCGGCAACGTCGCTTGCCATAAACCCAAAAGGCGACATTTTTATGGCAGTGTTCAGGCGCAGCGCGGATCGATAAAGCGCCAGAGCGGGACGGCACTACGGCGGCACTGCTCTCGCGGCCCGTTGATTGGCTCAGAGCTGTGCGCAAAATCCAACCCAGCCAGCGCTCACGGCACACAGATACTGCACACAGGCAAGCGGGCGCGTTTATTTGATTTATTAGCAGGGCCGTCGCAGCTCTGTTCGTCTCGCTCTGGCGCAGGGCGTATGGGCTCTGGCCAAATGCCAGGGCACACATACAGACACAGATAGAAATACCAGTTTTTCCAGCCACCCTGTCTGGCGGACCGAGCGACCGACCGCGTTTACCGCCTGCCAGAGCCGCCAGCGGCAGACCGTCTCTCATTCGACTCTCGCATTCGCCGTCGTCAGCACACGCGCACGCAACACGCAACACGGCACTACGGCAGCAACACCAGCAGCACGGCAGCAACATCAGGCACGCCAGCAGCAACTCGGCTGTTCGTTGTCTCGAAATCGGTTTCGTATCGTCTCTCGTATCGTTTCGCCTCGCATTCGGTTCGTGTGCCTCGTCATCAGCCGAAAAAAGCAAAAGAAAAAAATACAAACGATATTTTCATAGCCAAGGGAAAAAGCAGCGTAGAACGCACCTCGAACAGGTTTCGCCGTCGTCCGGAGAAACAGAAAGGTGCTCAATTCCGCCCAGTGTGGAGGTATTTTTTCGGTGTTCCCGCTTCTGACGAAAATATATAAAAAATACAGCAACAACATAAAACAACACAACACAACTTTCTGAGGCACTTTCGCGTCGGGTTTTTGACAACAATTTTCAAGTGTTTTGGGCCGCCTCTTGTTTGTTCGCAAATATCTGAAATATCTGTGTGACTGTGTGGAAAAAACAACTCAACGCAAAAGCCAAAAAATTTTTGATACGCGAAATAAAAACGAAACAAAAAATTTGTTATGCAATTTTAAGCGAGAGCAGCTACAAACTATTTAGCCAAAATCAAAAATCACAAGTGCAACATGGTTTCCCACAAAATGTTCAAAATGTCTAACTAAAGAAAAAGCTAAACTAAGCCTAAACGAAAGAGTAACTGCGATTAAGAGCGAGTTTCAAGGAGCAACTTCAACGAGATCATCAACTTCATCGGTCTAGAGAAAACTGGAAGCAATCCCCGCAAGATGCTGACCATGGAATCGGATATGAAGGGCAGCCTGCTGCATGCCACCATGCCGCCGCATCACACGAGTGCCGCGCTCCACGGCCATGCGGCCTCCCCGTACTCCGCCTTGGCTCCCCTGATGAACCTGGGCCAGTCGCACCTGACCCACTCACAGCTGAGCCACCACAACCACCACCACCACCACATGAGCGCCCACATCGCGGCCAGCCAGAGTCCCAATCCGCTCAGCTCGCTGCAATCCTCGATGGCCAACACCTTGAACGGCAGCCAGGTGGGTCAGCAGCAGCAGCAGCAGCAGCAGAGCTCCCCGCTGCACAGCTCCAGCGAACTGAGTCCCACCCAGAGCAGCATCGGCAGCCACCACATGACCTCGCCGGTCAGCCACCAGCAGCACACGCAGCAGCAGCAGCAGCAGCACTCCCAGCAGCAACACCTGGCCGCCGGATCCGCTTTGAGCAGCCTGACGGGCGGCGGATCCGCCAACAACAACAACAACAGCGCCACGGCCAACAAGAACCAACAGCACGCGGATCGGGTGAAGCGGCCCATGAATGCGTTCATGGTTTGGTCGCGGGGCCAGCGGCGGAAGATGGCCTCGGACAACCCGAAGATGCACAACTCGGAGATCTCGAAGCGACTGGGCGCCCAGTGGAAGGACCTCTCGGAGTCGGAGAAGCGTCCGTTCATCGACGAGGCCAAGCGGCTGCGGGCGGTGCACATGAAGGAGCATCCGGACTACAAGTACCGGCCGCGTCGCAAGACCAAAACGCTGACCAAGACCAAGGAGAAGTACCCGATGGGCGGGCTGATGCCGGGCCAGGGAGTGGGCGGCGGCGGTGGGGCGCCGGGTGAGCCGGTGACGCCGACGCGAGTGCAGGGTCAGCCGGGCCAGAATCAGTCGCTCAACGGCAGCGGAGGCAGTGCAGCGGCGGCGGCGGCGGCAGCAGCGGCAGCGGCGCAGCAGGCGCGCCAGGATATGTACCAGATGAACGCGCCCAATGGATACATGCCCAACGGGTACATGATGCACGCGGATCCGGCTGGGGCGGCCGCCTACCAGACCTCCTACATGGGCCAGCACTACGCGGCGCAGCGGTACGACATGGGGCACATGTACAACAACGGGTATGCGATGTACCAGACGGTGTCGGGCGGTCAGACCTCGCCGTATGGCGGCAGTTTGCAGCAGCCGGGATCGCCGTCCCCGTACGGAGGCAGCAGTCTGCAGCAGCCGGGCAGTCCAACGCCCTATGGAGGTGGAGGAGGAGCAGGCGGCGGTGGCCAGGTGTCCTGCCAGAGCCACAGCCCCAGCGACTCGAGCATCAAGTCGGAACCCGTGTCGCCCAGTCCCAGTGCCATAGCGCTCAACAACAACAACAATATCAACAACAACCACATCATGAAGCGGGAATACAGCTCGGCGGCAGCGGCGGCGGCGGCAGCAGCAGCGGCAGCAGCCGCCGGCGGCGGGGAGCTGAATCACCTGATGAACATGTACCATCTGCCCGACGAGCAGCGCCACCTGCTGCACTACCAGACTGACTCGCCCGACCTGCAGCAGCAGCACCAGGCGATGCAACAGCAACAGCAGCAGCAGCACCTCCCGCAGCAACACCTCCCGCAGCAGCACCAACAGATCCCGCAGCAACACCAGACGATGCAGCAGCAGCAGCAGCAACACCACCTGCAGCACCAGCAATCGCTGCGGGCGATGGCGCCGCTGGCACACATGTGAGAAATGGCCAGCGCCTATGGAGCAGGAGGCTCCAGTGTGAGCGTATCGCCCCCACTGCCGCCGTACATGCCGACGGCCCCACAGCAGCAGCAGCAACAACAGCAGCAGCAGCAACAGTTGCTCAACGGACGGCCTAGTCCGACGGCATCGGGGTCGTCGGGCGGCCGCTCCTCGGCGCATTCCAGTGGCCATACCGCCGCGCATTCACCCGCCTTGGCAGCCGCCTACCAGCTGACCCCCTCTGCTGCCGCCACCCCCTCCGCCTCTGCTGCTGCTGCGGCGGCGGCGACTGCAGCTGCTGTTGCTGCTGCCGCCGCGGCTGGCAGCTCCTTTGCCGCCTCGGCCAGCATGCTGGACATGCAGCAGCAACATCTCGAGGAGCAGCAGCAGCACCACCATCTGCACTACCAGCAGCAGCAGCAACAGCAACACTACCAGCAGCAGCAGCAGCAACATCTCCCGCAGCAGCAGCAGCAGCAACACCAGCTGTACCATCACTATCATCCCGGCCACGAGGCAGCGGTGGCCGCCAGTGCTGCTGGCCTCTTGGATATATCCACATTGTAAATTATTGAAAATATTAACTAAAAGCCCTAGGATACGCACACCCACACCTAAAGACCCCAAATCCCACAACCCACACACACAGAGACAATTTTAGCCTTAGTTCTTAAGCAGGTTTAATTCGAAATTGCAGAGTAACACACACACGCATATATAAATAAATGAATAGGGTTAATATTTAGTCATTTAAATGAAGCATACGCACTGTTGTACCACAATGGGAAGATGACAACCAACTCACTTGCATTCCATACTGTTCTGCTTCGATTTCCCTTGATTTTCCGCTTGCTGCATAGCTAAAACAATTGTGTGATACAAATAAATTGTTGCCACTTACTGGGACAACAAATCGTTTGATTTAGCATTTCATTTTCACCCACTTTTTGCTGTACAAAACATTCTCAGACATTAAATGTGCGTTCGACAGAAGATAGATGAAGGAGCAACAGAGATGCGCGGAATCCAAGGAGGAAGTTTAGTAGGAGTAAAAACGATGAAAATATTTCAGAAAAGCAAAGAAAAATGTCGAAAAACATTCTATTTTATAAATTCTCTTATGCATTAAGTAATTATAATTATTATCTATTATATAAACAATTTAATTATTAATTATGCTTACAAATACCAGACAAGACAACCATAATTAATTGTAATAAAGCGAAAAACAAAATTATTATTATTATTAAAAGCATAAATCGAAACGAAGGCAAGCATCTACTGCATAATACAAAAACACAACCGAAAAATGTTAGTAAACCTAAAGCAAATTTAGTAAAAACAAACCAAGAAGCGTGCAAAACGTGATTGTGAAACATGGAGCGAGGCAGAGAAAACAAACAAATTCAACAAAAACATTGCCAAGCACCTGGAAGTAATAAAAACAAAATCCACAAAAAATCCACAAAAAAACAAATAAAAGAAAAATCTTTACAAAAATTTAAAATTTTTATTTTACTTTTTGCCGTCGGCTAAAATGGGAAAAGCGATGCCAGTCGAGGATCCGTGAATTTTGCAAACTGAGTAGATATGCAGGTTTAACAATCTGCCAGCTGCTTTATATTCCAGTTTTGTTTTATGGCTCCCCTCAATGTTAAGTGGGATGCGTAGTTCCTAAGACAAAGGCGATTAGAGTAGTAAAACTCAAATGAAATTCACGCATTGTCAACATAAATAAGGTGTTTGTGGATATCATTAAACAAACCTTGACAAATTAGAACAAAACGTGAAACGAGATTCCCATAAAAATGTTTTTTATTTTTTATTACTACAAATTAATTTTTTCAGCTGCAGTATAGCAATTATTTAGAGACTTCATGCCAATCGCAAGCTGTAATCTATCATTTCAATATTTATTTAGTTGCATTTTGTCAATGATTAACTGCAATTTTCGTGACCGGAAAGCGAAGCTTTGTAGCCGACACCGTCCGAAACTAATTCTACTGATCGTGCATCAAGGTTATAACACAATTATTAGGAATTTTGATAATATGCACGCTGATATATGTGACTTTTCGGAGCGGCTCACCAGACCCAGTTTGTCCAATCACTCGATCGGCGGTGAATGGGCCTACAAACCCCATAATATCCGCTTAATATGGCTAATTTATGCTGGCCAGACCATCACATCTGGCCCACGCGCTATGCCGACATTTCAAAAAGCTCATAAAAAATTATGATATGTATTATTAATGAAAATTGCAAATTCAGAGCGACAGGGCCCCAGAAAACAAACAAAACGGCGAGCAACAACCACTTTGGCTACAAAACAATTTATTTATTATGTGCAAACATTATACACTGTTTACTACATTTTTTTTGTCATTCGAAAGCTGCTGATTATTATAATTTCGGTAAATGCTTTGGCTTAAAACGAAAGCTGCCGCGGAATTTCAATTAATATATTTCCAATTTTTCAGCACCTTTCCCCTGGTTGCCTCCATTATTCCGACTTTGCAATCAATTAGTGGGCAACGATTTTTAATTATAAAATTTTACATCTAAATTATTTTCCGCTTCGAATGCTTAACCCCTGCCCCCGGTTGATTGAAAATGTTTAACCCTTTCCTTCGGCCTTAAAATGTCCATTTTATTTTCCCGTGCTCGAAATAGTTCGCATACATAAAAAACGAGCCTCGATTTGCATTTGTCGCAATTTTCATAATATTCACAGATTTTTCTGTGGGCCTCTGCTTATCTTTGATTTCGGAGGCCTGTTTATTTGTGTTGAAATGCGAGATTGCCGAGCGGCATGTTCGAGATACATGCATAATTTTGTGCTTTTTTTTACTCTTTCGGTTGTGTGAAACAAATGTAAAACGTAAAAATTTATTAATGCCATATGGGTGTCATTTGAGCTAAGCTGCTGCAGATACAATCTAGCTAAAAATGCGACTTCGTTTGACATGCAAATCGTCATGGAGGAGAGATCGTTTCAGTCAGTAGCGCCTGATATTTGATTTGGATTTATTTCGAATACTATTTACTTTGTTCTCTTGTCAGCCAGCTGTGTTTGCTTACTTTTAATTAGCTTAAAAAATTGTTCTGCGTTCTATGTTCTGTTTTATTTTAATGTTATTTCTCCAACTAATTTTTTGTGGCGCTGTCATTTGTTGCAATCAGTGAGAAAATTAAACGAAATCCCGATGACAACATTTTTATTGCCGTTCGCTTGCCATTAAAATTAAGAGCTAATCACACGTTTAACAAGATTTTGTTTTGTGTTTGTTTTTGTTGCTGGTTTCAGGCTTCGATCAGTTTTTTTTTCGTTTTCGGTTGGCTTTATAGTGGAGACAGGTGCTTGGCTTTATTTTTTGGCTGCAGCTGAGTCAGCAATCGACGATCGTGAGAGTTTTTCGTTGGGCTTTGTTTTGGCTCTTTTGATTTAGTTCATTAATTGGCCATAATAGTTTCGTTTTATAACTGGTTGACAGACTTGCCCAGAGTTGACCGCCTTTAATTTGATTTATTAATTAAATTTAAACAGTAAACATCGAGATTGAATAATTTGTTTGTTCGACTTCTAACTTGGTTATTCTTCGGAACTTTGCCCAAGTTTTCCTGTGCGGGATTTTCTAATCTGATACATCCAACCCATCCAGATTTACTCTCTCTTTCTTTCAACCCTTCAATTGTCCCAACAAAAGCCCGGCGAATGCCAACAGAGACGGCCACTGGGATGCAAAGATAGATAGATAGAGTTGAACAACTAATTAAACTTGAACAATGGCGAAAAGTTGGCAAACAAATGTCATTACTTCGACTTCAGTCTGGGCAGTAAGTAGTATAGTGGATTTTGAGTGGTTCGTGTTTTCGTTTTGGGCTGGCTGACACATTTTCGGGAATGTAGGTTAACCGAGTGAGACATGCTACGAAATCGAGTTGATTCGTAAGCCTAAAACTGTAACCAATTCGGAGACGGGCCTGTTTTTACAATTTTTACTTCTCGTTTTCGAGATGCGAGTACATAAACAAATCGGATTAGTTGACAAAAATCCAATTAGCTGTGGGCCCCAAACCAAAACGGTTAACAATTTTCAACTGACGGCGGAGGAAAAAATAAGTCGAGCATTTGATGGATGTGTGGCAGGCGTAAGAATTTATAGGCCGGTGATTTGATCGATAGGCCCGATGATTTACGAGGCAGGTACCTCGGATAAATGGTACAGGTAAATGTCCGGGGGTACCACACATACTCCATATACACATGCAAATTCTCAGACTGCCTGGCGACCCCGGAGATAAGCTGACGACCCGTCCACCTGCACCTGAAAGTGGGAAAACCCAAAACAACTGGCAGGTCGCAGAAGTACATACCTGAGTCCGGATAATGAACCTCTAAAATCCACGCCTCGCAAATCCTCGAGCGGATGCTCGGATCCGCATCCTCGTTTTTGGGCAATAAAGGGCTAAACACACAGGGCCCGACAATAAGTCCCTATAGATCGCCGTGCATATTATCATAATCACCAATAAAACCCTAGTCGCAAACTAATCCACTGCAACCCATTGCGGGCCCTCGACGGTTGCATTCAGGGATTTGTGCTCCTACTAAACTCGAAGTTTATCTGCGTAATACTCGACATTCTCGGCGGTATCTCGATAATTTCCGATATTCCATCTTCGCCCGCCACCCGCATTTTCGCTTAGTGTAATTCAATCACAGTTCCGTGAAGTTCTTAGAAGGAGGGAGGAGAGCCTGCATAAAGTGCGCAATCTGAATCCCATGGGGCCATTGGCTAATCGCTGTCTAATTATAATTTTGCATTTTTATCGCTAAGGGTCTGGACCCTTTGGGGTGGGCCGAAGGGAGGGGGAGGGGCCGGCAAGGCCGTTTCTGTTTCTGTTTCGGCTGCGGTTTGTTTTGCAATTAGGCGATTAGTCACGCCCTGATTTGTCATTGATACTCCGTCCGCTCGATTGCTCAGTTTCGGTGAGTGTTATGTGCCTGTACTACATGGAACCGAGGCCCTGTAACTATGTAAACTATGCGGGCTGGCTTAGTGATACAGCCGATATGGGGGTGGGGTAAAATATGCAGATAACACGAAAGGAACATGATATGCGATGTAAGAGGGGAGGTCTTCAGTTTCGGTGCACATTAAGATTTATCTTTGGGTGTTTAACAGCTTATTAATGGAGTAAATATTCAAAATGAATAAATAAAAATAAATTAATTCTTAAAATAAATACATTACCTTTATAACCTACAAAACTAGTAAGATCGTTTATTCCTGATAGTAATTTTTTTTGTATTAATTTTATATTTATTTATTATGCATAATCATCAATTCGATTGTTTATAATATTTTTTGTTACTCACCTCAACTATAGTTTATATGTACAACTTTAGTAAGTTTAGACATAAGTTGTATTTCTTGAAACAGTTTTCATTGACTTTTTAACGCGACTCCAGTGGGTAGAAATAGGTATTTCAACTTTATAATTAACCCTTTACTTTACAAAGTTCTTAAAATCGTAACAAGTTTTAAGGTAGGACAGCGACAACAACGAATCCTGGTGACAAGAGCAGCAACAACGCGATGCACTTGTGCCACTTAATTAAGTCGACGTTTTATTGTCGTCATCGCAGCATCGTTGCTCAAGTTAATTACTCAGAGGAGGTGGTTGGGGATGACTCCATCTCAATCCCCCGGCAAATCCGTACCTGTGGAAGGCACTACTTTTCAGCTGGCTGCAAGTGAGCACAACAATTCCCCACTCTTCCCAGGATGCCGAGTCCTGAGTCCTGCACTTTGGCGCATTTGTTGATTCGCGCACTTGAACAACGTGATGGTGATGGACCTAAGGGAGGGGGTTACGGGGACTTGGAGGCACAACAACCAGCAGCAGCAGCAGCTCTTATCTTAATGAGTTTTTATGCATCTAATTAAATAAATTGCACCCTCTTCGGGCTGTTGGCGCCATGACAACTCCCAAGTCTACACAAATCTCTCACAAATTTTTTCGTTAGTCAGCCCTAGAAGTTGTTGTTGTTGTTCGAGGGCGTGGTCCATGCAACTGCCCCATGGCCCCACGGCTAAAAAAAAGACCCATACACACACCCACTAACTGAAATTCAATTTTAATTACAATTTTTTAACTCACTCTCTCTCCACCTTTTCGCCACTCAAATCGATTTTACTAACCAATTTTTTCCACAATTTGTACATGGTCGTGTGTGTTGCGGTGTGTTTTTATATAAATATATATGGCTGTGTACTTTTGTGTATATATTTTTAATCAACCGCGCCCAGACACAAACGCTTAACAACATTTTCAGTGGCTTTCATTTCGAATGTCCGGCAGTTTGTTGAGCCGCAAAGCAGCTACAGATTGTTTTTATATATGGTACACAACTCTTTTATGAACCGTATGGATTTATTTACTTGACGT